CACACACACCTCCACCACCCCTTTCAAGGAAGCTGCAAGTCAGGTCTTACTGAGCAAGGGGAAATAATAATAGACCTCTGTTTCCAGGTAAACACTTCCACACATCATTTGTGACATTTTAGATTCAAAACTGTAACGTGATCTGGATGAAAAAAAAWCTTTTTGCTTCCTTTGACCTCTCACGGGACATACTGTATTAGATTACAGACAGAAAAGTGAAATATTCTTTCACTTCAGGGAAGCAGATTCCTGACATTTAATCTGATGCCATCTGAATGCTCCATTGTGTTCACATAACCCCACTAGAATAGCCTTTCCTCCTACACATTCACACAATGAAGCCACACAGATGATTTTATTCTTTCTGACGGTGTGCTGTCAAGCTATCTGTCTCCATTCATTCCTCCCATAATCTCCCAATTGGTGGCATACAGAGGTGATGTTGTTCTTTGCTTCATGAAACTCTACGCACCCTCAGGAGCCCTAAGGCTGTACCTGACAATAAAAACACTCACGGAAAGGGATTCATTGGGGAAGAAATAAAAAGGCCTTTCTTACTGAACCGCAGTGTGTGTTTTAATGGGGCGACATATGGCTCAGGAGATGTCTTCTTTTATCTGGTTTAAAGGAGGTGTTTAAATGAAAATGACTTCAATAAAACAGGAGGCGATGAAGACACTTTGATGACCCAACAAGCAGCTGATAGTTAAATGTTTTATTTCTCAATGAATCGCTTTCTCTAAATGATCTCCTCCAAAAAAAGTGAAAAAAAAAAAGACTGAATGATTCCCTGGAAAGAGGTGATTATTATAAACTTTCATTTTAAATAATGGCTAAAGATATGGAACACTGCATGAGAGAAAACAAACCCAAATTTACCTACAGCGGTGTTCTATCTAATAATGAGAATTTGCAGTCTAGCAACAATAAATATGCTATGTAAAACTCATGGTCTAAAAAGATATCTAATATTTCAAGRTTGTACTCTTGAAATATTAGAAACTAAATTAAAACTGTGAAACTAAATTTCAAGGCTCTGGCCAGCACTGGGAAGGGAGTGGATGACAGGACCACCCCTGACAGGGACAGTCAGTGGAGGTAGAGTCTCACCTTACAAAAAACAGTAAAATAAAACAAAGATAAATGCATTAACCTGAAGTTGTTTTATAAYTGTAATTTTTGCATGATTCCAGTCATTGGAATCGCTTTTGCTGTTAAAACCTTTGCCTGTTTTCTCCTTAAATAAATTGAAGATAGTGCTGCACTAGATAACATTTAATAGTCAAACAGATTTTGGATTTCAGAAAAACGTGATTCAGTTTTTGATAGTTGAGCTTTACAGACAATAGTGTGGAATGCCAATTCCCACACCATAATAAAAACTGAAGCCCCCGAAGGTATTTCTTCAACAAACTTAACCAATTTAATGAGGGGCAGCCTATACCATGGGATTAGACTCAGTGAGTGTTTAACATGACAAAAAAGATAAACATAAGCTTCCGCTGCCTTTGTGTCAAAATGAGTCACAAGGCTTCAGAGGTGACTCCTGAGGTTGTAGCTCATTAAGTGGGCAAATACAACTGGAAAGAAATTGCATGTGTTGAGCTGAACTGTACACRATTCTGTCATTTTTGTTGCTATTGGCAGGCATTAGAATGACCACAGTAAGAAAAGACAAGACGGAAGTGAGGGAGATGAAGAAAGACCAACAGACACACAACAGAGAAGAGAGAATAGGGAGGTTAGTAGGAATAAAAGCRGAAATCACAGGGAGAAAGAAGCWAGTAAATCAACTRAGTTTTTTATGTAGCATTGAGAATGAGTCCTCACACAGCTCCAGACAACCTATCTAAGATCTCCAACAGCCAAAAGACAAACTGAACATCCATCCACAGAACCACCCTGACTATAAACTACCCTAACTTGTCCCTGTCACACACACACACACACACACACACACACACACACACACACACACACACACAC